TCTTCGGCACCAGCGTCGTCTCATACTCTTCCGGCCTCTCAGCCTTCCACGCCATGCTGGTCTTGGTTAACCCGAAAAAGATCTTTCTCACGGAAGGATACCACGGGGTCCATGGAGTCATCGACGTCATCTCCAAGCTCAACGGCCTCAAGAAGTTGAGCCTCGACGACATCGACCAGATGGGTCCAGGCGACATGCTCCACGTCGAGACGCCGCTTAACCCGACCGGTGAGGCACGTAATCTTGTTTATTATAAGGAGAGAGCTCGTGCAGTGGGAGCTATTCTTACCGTTGACTCGACTTTTGGTCCACCTCCTCTGCAGGATCCCCTCCAATTTGGCGCCGACATGGTGATGCACAGCGGAACCAAGTATATCGGTGGTCACTCGGATATGCTCTGTGGCATCGTTGTCATCCACCCTGATCGTGTCAAGGAAGGATGGGAGGAGACGTTGCGGGAGGAGCGTCTGGTCTTGGGAAGTGTTATGGGCAGCTTGGAGGGGTGGTTGGGTATCCGATCCCTGCGTACCCTCCATCTGCGCGTAACGCGGCAGGCAAAGACGACCGAGAGCCTTGTCGCATGGCTTCATAATGGCATCCAGAACCCAACCTCGGTCGTTGGAAGAGCGGTTCTGAAGGTGTCGCATGCCTCGATCCAAAAGGACGCTCTAGAGGAGGGCTGGCTGCAGAAGCAGATGCCCGGGGGTTACGGGCCCGTGTTCAGCATGTGGCTCAAGAAGGCCGAATATGCTAAGCGGTTGGCCAGTAAGCTATACATCTTCCAGCACGCCGCAAGCTTGGGAGGAGTTGAGAGTTTGGTTGAGTGGCGTGCCATGAGTAGCAAGGGAGAGGATCCGCTTGTCATTCGTGTTAGTGTCGGTATTGAGGACCTTGAAGATATGAAGGCGGACTTTACACAAGCGTTTGAGGCGCTTCTGAAGGAAGATTCATAGACAAACCATGAATATTATATCCGTTCTTTGAAACTCAAGATACTGTTCCCCTACACGATATTCTCTGCCGATGTAGGGAGTCGCCAAGGCGTCCTCTTGTGAGATCCTTTTTAAACAAGGAGGGTCAGGGTGACTCGATCATCCGGAAACGTTAGGATCAAAGGAGCGTGGGATGTGGTCTACGGCCATCTCTATTCTGGACGATAAATGCAACCATTGATTATCTCAATATCTAACCCGAATGTCCAAACCAAAAGGCCAAACTACTTATTCTATTGGTCGTTTACTCTAAGCTATCCTTGTAAGCACCTTGAGAAGATCACCCAACACGCCCATAGCCGTAACAGGACCACCTGCGCCAGCACCCTGAACAATCAAAGGTAAATCACCATATCGCTTAGTATAGAAGCTGATGATGTTGTCACTTCCTTGGAGTGAAGCAATGGGATGTGACATGTCAAAAGCCTCGAGGCCAACCTTGAGCTGCTTCGTCGCAACGTCGACGGAACCGATGAACCGCACTACCTTGCCGGCCTTTCCCGCAGCTTCCTTGTGCTGAGTCATCTGTGAGTCGAACTCAGGAAGTCTTTGAAGAAATTCGTCGCCGCTCTTAACACTCTCTAGCTCTTTGGGGATAAGGCTCTGGACGGGGAAAGCTGTTGCGGACTCAATGGGAAGACCAGCTAACCGGGCGAGGATGGTGATCTTGCGGGCGACATCGAGACCGTTAAGGTCATCACGAGGATCCGGCTCAGTGTACCCCAATTGCTTTGCCCTCTTGACCTCGTCCGACCACTTCCCGCCGGTTCCCTGAGTAGGGGCAAAGTTGTTGAAGAGATATGACATTGTGCCGCTAAACACACCCTCAATTCGAGTGATCTCATCACCGGTCGCTATGAGCTCCTTCAATGTCGAGATTATCGGCAAAGCGGCGCCAACCGAGCACTCGTGGTACACCATGGAACCGGCCGTGCCCTCAGCAGCAAAGATGTCTTGCCACAACTTCCAGCTTCCAGAGAAAGCCTTCTTGTTAGGAGTGACGATGCTGAAACCCCTAGCAAGAAACGAAGGATACGCCTCGGCGACTGCCTGGCTGCTGGTGTTGTCGACGACAATAACCTTGCCAGGTGCATTTGCCAGATACTCGATGGTTTGGGGGACCGTAGGTAGTGGTCCGCCCTTTTCTTCGAGCGTCGGCACTGCAGAGGCAATTTCGATGGATGCATAATCGGCGTGGTAGAGGGCCTTGTCGATGATGGCGACGTAGACGAGCCTCAGACGGTGCGAGGTCTTGTTCTTGGCCACCCAGGCGAGTTGCTGGAGGAAGACGGATCCAATGCCGCCGGCACCTATTTCAAGTGTTATTGGCTGATTATAGGCAATAGTAGCCCTTGAAGGTATCTACTCACCGATCACGGCAATGGAAACCTCATGGGTGGACGTTGCCATATTGGGAGGCTGAGGGCGGATGACTGAAGTCTCCTTGTGATAGGCCGTGAGTCTCAAACTCAGCTGCAGATCCGGAATGGCAGGAGGTTTCTTGTCTTTTAAGAATGAAAAAGTCCATGTTCTTGGAATCTCCGAATCTCAAATCGGGTGCCAACGGTCTCGGAGCGGATTCGGCTTGTCAGTGCGACGCGCCGTCCTCGTGAGCCGCGTAACATAACCAGATCATGATTAACTTGAAGCATTTTATTTAAAAGGCGATAATCAAGATCATGTTACTACAGTTTCCCTTCGTCAACACTTCGGCTATAGAAGGTGTAGAGGCCGAAACGATGTACGAGTTCGTTAACATAATCAGATGCTGACAAGACACTCTCCGCGTCAGCAACAATTAGGTCGCCCCTAACGGGTGGAACATCCGCGGAACAATTTGTCAAGATTCAAGATGTAATACAGAATTCGATTTTGTATGTTTGGGGGTCGGTAAACATCAATATACCCGAGCCGGAATAAGTAGCATATAAGTCGATAGATCTCAGTTTCATCATGTCGGTTGACGGACAAGAATCACAGACTCTTCAGCCAATCTACTTACACAACAAAGCACAATGTCTCTCCCCTTCACAGTAACTACCCCTCCCCCTCATTCATGAAGTCTACCCCTCACTGACCAATCTCCAAGTTGAACGACCCCTCCCTCCTCCATGAGGCATCGCTGCTCAATGGCAAATGGGTGCAAGCCCAGGCCGGCAAGCGCTTTAATGTCGAGGGTGAGTTCTCAAACATTCAACTTAACATATTGATATTTTCTAATATGTGTAGATCCCGGCTCTGGCAAGATCTGGGCCACCTCGCCCACCAACCAAGTCGAAGACGTCGACCAATACATCGAATCCTCGCAAACTGCATTCAACAGCTTCCGCTACACCAACCCCCGCGAACGAGCCAAGATTCTCCTGAAATGGCACGAGCTCATCACCAACGCCCGCGAGGACATTGCCAAGATCGTCGTCTACGAAACGGGAAAGCCCATGACCGAGGCCATAGGTGAAGTCGATTATGCTCTTGGCTTCGCTTGGTGGTTCGCTGGCGAAGCTGAGCGCGTTCGAGGGACAATTGCTCTACCGTCTGTGTCTAACCGGCGGACGTTTGTTATTAAGCAACCTATTGGTGTGAGCGTCGCTCTTGTGCCTTGGAACTTCCCTGTTGCTATGATTATCCGCAAGGTTGCTGCGGCTTTAGCTGCCGGTTGCACCATGGTTGTCAAGCCTTCTCCCGAGAGTCCCTTCAGTGTCATGGCCCTCGCCGATCTCGCCCTCCGAGCTGGACTGCCCGCTGGTGTGCTTAACGTCATCTCAACCGACAACACCAACACGCCATCGGTCAGCGAAAGGCTCTGCAAGCATCCCTTGGTCCGAAAGGTCACCTTTACAGGAAGCACCAATATCGGAAGCATTGTCGCCAAGCATTGCGCCGAGGGTCTGAAGAAGGTCACGATGGAACTTGGCGGCAATTGTCCGTTCCTCATCTTTGACGACGGCGACCTAGATCAAGCTGTCGCCGCGCTCATGATCCTCAAGTGGCGCACAGCTGGTCAGGCTTGCACGCATGCCAACCGAGTTTACGTGCAAAGCGGCGTGTACGACAAGTTTACCCAAAAGATGTTGGAAGCCACGCAAAAGCTGAAGGTAGGCCATGGCGCCGAAACAGGGACGACCATGGGTCCCCTAACAACAGGCCGCCAAGTCGAAAAAGTTGAGAAGCATGTTTCCGATGCTGTTAGCAAAGGAGGCAAGGTCCTATGCGGCGGAAAGAGACCAGCTGACCTCAAGGACGGCTACTTCTTTGAACCTACCATCATCTCAGGAATGACGCCCGACATGTTGACGACGCAAGAGGAGATCTTTGGTCCTCTACTAGGCCTCTACAAATTCGAGACAGAGGAGGAAGCTATTGAGTTGGCCAACAACACATCTATGGGCTTGGCTTCATACTTTTACACCAAGGATGCCAGTCGTACATGGAGGCTTCTCGAGAGCCTTGAGGCTGGTATGATTGGAATGAATACCGGTAAGCATCTTTTCATGTAAATGCAAGAGACACCAACGCTAACAAATGTCGAGGAAATGCTTCATGTGCCGAGTCTCCTTTCGGTGGTATCAAGTCTTCAGGCTATGGCAAGGAGGCCGGGAAGAATGTTGCTATTGAAGAGTATCTCATCTCCAAGACGGGAACGCTCACAGTCGATGGTGCTCCTACACCTTGACCAGGCTTCAGCAAGGGAGGAAGATCGGGTAGAATGTAAACAACAGAGTACAATTCAATCATTTTCAAGCCTTGTACCCAGGTACTATATCAGCCGTTCATCCATCCTTGAAATCCCTCATTAGGCCAGAAGAATCCCGGGAAGTCCTGATCATTATTAGATGACTCAAGAAACTGAAGATCCAGATCAGACTGGGACAGCAAGTCCTGGAACGAAGGCTCCGTCAGGGCCATCCTAGCCGTGTCCGTGGGTGCATCGAATATCCTCGGGTCGTGGAAAGAGAATGGCCCGCCACGCATGGCCACTGAATCAGGCTCTCGATTATCCTGACCTGCTTGGTTTCTTTCTGCAGCGATGCTGTCTAGGGCAGCCCTGGTGGCTTCCATGCTCTTCAAGAACTCTCTCGCTGCGAAATTGCCACTCTCGTCTAGTTGTTTGAGTATTTGCATCGCAGCATCAAAGTCATCACTGTCGCTTTGAGACTCGTTGGTTTGAGATAGACTGGATATGGCGAGGACGATGGATGATGAGAAGAGGTGGTGAACATAGGAAACATCGAACGTGGGAAAGGACCCATTGATCCAAGACTCTACTAAAAGTCGACAGGAGCGTCGGGCACATTGGATGCAGGCATCCGAAAGAGTCAAAGCAACTTCGCCAATAGGAGGGCGCTCTTCCTCGATAGACTTGCGAGCCTCTCGGCGCATGCGAAAGACGTACAGCACAATTGGTCTCGCCGCCCGTATTAGACACTACGTGAGTTAGAAGCGTGTTGGACAGTAGACATGCGCCACTCGACTGACCTGGTTAAAAGAGAGGTGCAAAGCGGTGATGGGCGCTGTCGCGTTAGGGGGAAGTTCTTCCATAGCAGCTCGCAAAGAGTCTGGCAGGCCTTGTAGCCAGCTAGTCAAGTCTCTCAGCGCTTGTTGAACCCTACTAGAGAAGGAGGTGCGCTGATTCTTCCGGCTGTAGATCAACGACGCAATTTGAGCGGCGAGATTGGTCAGCCGGTGGTTGGCTGTGAGATACTCGGCGTCTGCAAAGTCTTCAGCCGCGCTTTCGGGAGATAATCCCTCGATGGAAGGCGGATCGACGTCGATGTCCTCGTTTCTGATGGAAACTGGTTGGCCGATCTGAGCCCCCCAGAAGCGATCAAGAGTATACACCGACCACCATATCCTCTTTCTGTGTTCTTGCTTCTCGCGATCCGGCATCAGAGACAAGGGCACATTTTGGTGTAGGCCAATCATGGTGCTGAATTTGACAGCAGATCCAATCATGCAGTATGCGTTGTACCGTCGGTTCATAGCCAGGGAGTATAAAGACTGTCTAGCATCAGCATTGCAACCCTGACAAGAGCAAAAGCCTTACCAGCATCAAGATAACCTCAACGCAGTCAATGCGAGGTTGTTCAGTGAGGACCCGAAGGAACCGACTGGCGCGTACATAATATGAAATACCAGGAAGTTGATTCTTGTCCTTGGTAGGCGATGTCCTCGTCGAGTAGACCTCGCCCAATGCAAACAGTACAAAGAGCTTGTACTCAGATACAAGATCACACATGTCGGGGTTGTGAATGGCTTGCTCCAGTAGACGCTGTGTAGCGCTCCTTCGAACGAGATAGTAGCGCTTGCATACTGTGTTCAGTGCCACCTTGAGCAAGAAGCGGGCTCTTGATGCAGGCGGCCAGGGACAAGGGGTGTTCCATGACGATGTTAATGCTTCATCGGTCACATTCTCGGTGCGTGGAATATGTCGTTGTGATTTTCCAGACAATTCTTGACGGAATCTAGTGGCGAATGGTGCATCTGCGGCTTCTTCTATAAGCATAGGCATCTCGGGGGTCAGCGAGAAGAACCAAGGACGGTCCTCGAGGATCGGGTTCCGGATAGAGTCGTCGGTCTCTGGGGCAGGTCTCGTCTGATCAACAACGACAGTCGCTTCAGGATTGGCTTGCAATGCGCCCGTGTCAGCATTTATGACAGAGGCGGCAGGCGATTCCTGGTTGACGGCATCGCCATCTGAGACGAAAGACAGAGCTCTGGTCTCGTGACGCCGAGACGATGTTGAGTTGGCAACTTCGGGGGGTATGAACCGCTTTTCTAAAAGTATGAATCTCTTCTAGCAGTTCATCGATATAACTAGCCCATGATTAGTAGTTATCCCAAAGGACTATTACCTTGCTTCCATACCTCTGATCGACCTTCACTCGCCTGATGCGTCTTGGATAGGAGCACTCAGCGCCGATATTGGCCTGAAGGCAGTTGGCACAGGGGGTGCCGCCTGAGCATTTCACTTTGCGAGCGTGACATTTTCGGCAACTAAAAAAGTTAGTAAACATCCATTTCATTGGAAACCGGCAACTCGTCGTAGACATACGCAATGCGTGCGTTCTTCGGCGTTGCCCTTGAGACTCCGATAGAACGCCGAAGTCGCTGGCCCTCAGGCTCTGGTGTTTCAGACATGGGTATAACAACAGTGATGGATCACAATAAGGGTTGATTGATCGGATATGGCCAGAAGGATCCGAGAGCTGAGATGATGGATCAAGTTGGAAGACGTGATGAGGTTCTAAGCCGTACTCGGCAAGGACGAGCGGAAGACCGAGTTGTGGAGGATGACTAAAGTAAGATGGATCGGCTCCAATGTGGCACGACCGAGACTCAAGCCGGCGGCGAGGTGGGACAACCGAGTATGGTTAGAGCGGGAATGCCTTTTTGTAAGGAACCTTTGATTGGTCAAAGTGAGTCAAAGAGCAAAGAGGTAGCAGTGGAAACCCGGCATCTCTCGCAACAAAAAGGCACTGTTGTAATGGTGTTGATCACAGGCGCTGCTAGAACATGAGACTTCAGCGCAAAACGCAAAAAGAAATGATGAGACTGGGACTCGAACCCAGGAGGATTGCTCCATCAGGAATCTTAGGTTGTTAAGGTGACCTTAACCTGACGCCATAACCAACTCGGCCATCTCACCAACCTTATTGGATGCTAGGTGGGCGAGCTATGTGGTTCTATCTAGTAACGCCTCCACTAACAACGTTGCAGACGATCAGCTGTACCATTCGCATGTTAGGCTCCGGTACAGATAGACTCATTCTTATCAACCCTCTATTCTTAGTCACAGGAAGAGGTGGCCTCAATTAGAGATGAAAGGATTTTAGGGTTATTCATGGTGGCCTTGAGCTACTAATCGTTCCCAGGCGTTGAACCGTCCGTTCTAATGACCTCCAGCTAACTACCATTATGTCTTGTAGGAAGTGTCACCAACATACGGAGTAAGAGGTCTGCAATTTCTCCTTGCCATACGTGTAAGGACCATTGAGAGTAAGAGATTATGAAGCTAGTCACTTGCCTTCACAGCGTATACCCAGGATTTTCAGCCTTCCTAGTTAGTAGTAACGAACAACACTGCTCAAAGTGAGGTACAATTTCCTCGAAGCCGGTTTCCATTACAGCACCTAAAAACTCTTAGCCCAACACAGCCAGCCATGCGATCCCATAGGTGATCCTTTCCCTTGTCTTTCCTTTATCAAGTAGTCAAGAAAAATCCTGCATGTACTCAGCTTCCACAGCAGCAACAAACTCGTCCCGGTATTTCACCCTAAAGTCAAGTGTCGCATTTCCCAAGATCAAAATCAGTTCCATCTTCATGTCTCGCCACTTCCCTGGCTTGGCGTCGCTCTTATAGCTTGGCTCGTTCCAGATCTTTGCCTCTTCCACAGAATAGTGGACACTGCAGAGCTGCTTGAGGTCTGCGTATGCAAGGTCAGCTGGGTTCCGGTGTCCTGGGGGGCACTCACTGCGGTTATAACGTGATGGGGGCTCCTTATCCTGGCAGTAATAGAGTAGTTCGTCAAATTTACGTTCGCCTGTAGAGAAATACCAATCCCGTGCACCCTTTGCAAGACCACGGTCTTCAATTCCCTTCCTTCAGTAACTCTTTCGCCCTACGCAAGTGTTGTTAAACCCGAGCTGTCCCCAAGTCTAGAGGCCAATGCTTACCCTACGTAAGAGCCATTTCATCTGATTGGCTGCATAGTAAGTGTTGGTCGCGAGGTTGAGATACCGATCTTCCCAGAGATGCCGTGAAGAGTCAAAGGGCTGGTTGACGCACACACCATAGCTGTACGTTGAGATCCGTCCAACAACAGTTGGCACTGGGGCCATCATTAAGGCGCCGGGTCGTCCTCTTGCATGCTCGAGCCCCCAGCGGCAAGCACCCCTACAGATGGAACTCCAGCTATTGAGATATGTGAGCATTGAACGTGAAGACTTTCTTTTTGGGGTGTACTAACGCTCCGTCAACTTGAAGAACGGAAATGCCCCGTGACGAATATGACTTCTCAAGTCGATGATGGAGATACTTGCTGGACCCAAAACCGCCCACGAGGAGGATAGATTTGACGTTTAGCCCATTTGAAGCTACTTCGTCGGTCTGATTCTGAACCAGCGTTTCGATTTGACCGCAGACGTGATCAAACAAAGTTCGCAGCATGGAGCTGCATGGCCAGTTAGCCATGGCATCGCTGTCGGTGTCGATTTTAACCTACTGATCCAAGGTAATTGTATCGTCCTCGATACCGTGCCTTTCGTTGTCCTCGACCCCCTTAAGGTCCACCGAGTACTCTTTGGTCGACTCGAGGGTGAAGCATCGTTTGACGCCGTACTCGAACACTCGCATCATCTTCTTCTTGTTGATCTCCTTTAGTTTGCTGTACTGATCCTTGCCCACTAGCGTTTCGATGTATTTTTCAAAACATTTATCCAACCGCGTGGAGCCGCAGAGGTCACCTAGGAAGCGTCAGAACTTCTGTAGAGGCGTCCGACGATCCACGTACCATCGCCAATAGCACACTCTTCAATCTCAAGTGGGGAGGTGTTGTTGACTTTGTAACTAATGAGGTCCTATTGCAGACTATTAGCTATACATCCAAACCAAGGACAAGGCATCTCGACGTACCACAGTCCCACCCCCCGCATCGCAGACAACGAATGCATCTCCCTTCTAAACAAGGTCAGTCTGATACAAACAAACTCAAGAAACAGTACATACCTTGAGTGAATTTTCCTCAGCTTTGTCATGCAGCGTGGACAAGGCGGCAGCTTCTGGCTCAGTCACCAAGCGAATGTCCTGTGGAAGACCAGCCCTCTGGGCCGCCTTGAGGGTCTTGTCTTTGGCAGCAGGAGTCCACATGGCCGGTACCGTCAGCACCACTTGGAGAGTAAAGTTGTTCTCCCAGTCACTGTCACCGACGCGCTTGCGGATGTTCTCCTTGGTGTACGTCCATATTAGCCTGAGGTAGTCACTGACAACCTCCTCAACCGTCTTGTTGACCTTGCCCAGGAGGTTGCTACTCCCCTGAACATGCAGCTCCTCGTCGGCGTACTTGGACTTGGGCTCAAGAAGGATTTTGATCCATCGAAAGGCATCTTCCTTGAGACCGACCTCATAGCCCCAGTTTGCGACACCGCCATTCTGGTATGAGATGATGGTTGGGACTTTGTCGGCATTGGCAATAGTGGCTGCTGGGTTGGGCCAGTCAGTGATGAGTCTGATCTTTTTCTGCCCTTCGTTGATAGCCCATGACACGCCAGAGTATCTACGGAAGCCTACATTAGTCTTGCGCAGCTCAGGTCATGGAGGGTACTTGCGTCGTGCCAAAGTCTATCCCGACAACAATCTCGGAGCTCAGAGATGAGGGCATCTTGGCAAATGGGATGTGTTGGAGGAGCCAATTTATCTCTGAAAGGCAACTAAAGCAGCTGGAGAAAAAAGACAGTCAGGGGTTTGTCGTCTGTGCCAAAAGTGCTCCAGGTGGTGATGATTGACCTCGCCTTTCAGTTTAAGGAATGTTGCTTCAATGCCCATGAGCCGCAAACGTGTCGTTTCCGCAGAGCCTTGCGCCGAAAGCCTTTCAGTCTGCCGGCTGAGGCTGTGCGCCTAAAAGAGGGGTTATGGAAAGAGGTGAAATGGCGAGACACATGCTTCAGCCGCCCTTGCGCTGAAAGCCACCAAGGGTCCATGAATCAGCCATTCCTCGTGCCATTGGGCATGGTCAAAGGCTATTTGCCATCATATATTTGCCGACTCAAACTAGACCCCAAACCTACGATAAAATTATTAATAATAGAATTAAAGCATACAATAGGGTCTTTAAACTTATATTATCCGTGTATTGATAAGTTCATATTCGTCATTGTGGTTATATTCGTCTTGCAAGTTGTTGACCACGTCGTCAACTCGAATGCTGCAGCCAATCAGATTTTTGCGGTCAAATTCAACCGCTTTTGGTTTTTGCGGTCACCGTATTTGGGTTAGTGCATGGCAGCAGACGCCATGCCTCATTTGGCATCCGTATTTGCTTTTTAAAACCTTCCTCTAAGCAACACCGGATCAATTGCACATCCGTTGAAACGCATATTATATAATATGATTTTAATTAAGGGGTTACGATGAGTTCATGTATGGAGTGTTAAAATGGGACCGAATTCCAACCTCTAGATGATCTCAGCAATACACTGCATGCGCCCGTACTGGAAATTACCGATTTATTGGATGATAGTCCTATGGAATCTCCTTCCCTTAATTATTTCATAGCCACAACATGGATAACGCCAGAGATAACACTATCCCATCAAAGCGGAAGCGTGGTAGGCCTCGAAGGTATTCCACATCTGAAGCCAAGGCTGCGGCGGATGTAAAGCGGAGACGGGCGAGACGGCAGAATGCGGCCCCCGTGCAACGCGATACGGTACACGCCGACTCTCACAGCCTAGTTTTCCCTCTGATTCCTGTACCGTCAAGAGGAGGCGCCGGATGGGTGAACGTATTCAGCGACTCCTATAACCCGGCCAATCTCACCGATACACCGGAGCCAGACAAGACGGACATCTCTCAGTTCCTACCCCCAGTCGATCCTCAACCATTACAAGACATAGAAGAGGATGTTATGACCGATGTTGGGACTCTCGCAGAGGTTGTAGATGCGGTGTCTAGCCCAAGACACGAGAGCCCGGGCGTGGGCCAGGCTGTTACTTTCGATACGACCTCGGAGATATCACCACAAATGGAGAACAGCGAGCCGGATCCAGTTGGGCACCTCGCACAAGAGCTGGCAGAACAACTTGTGAAATTCCAAGGGTGCTGCAACGACTGCCATAGAGCAGCACAACGCAACCACATGGAAGATCCCAACGAACATATCAGCCTCGCCATGTACCTGGAGTTCACACCCGAATTAGGTCCTGACGTCCTTAGCAAGGAGGCTATCGCACACCAGAAAGATGACCTGGCCGGAAAAATGAGCCCTGAATCCAGAAGACAGGCCTTTTGTGGTCTTGACTCTAGAGCCGAGATACCCCACATTTGCTTAGATGAAGATGAGAGGGTTTCGAACGATGCCGGGGTTACCTTCGATGTGGATAGCGTCGTGGCCTTCCCGAGTAACCTTGCCGTCGCTAAGCAAGGTATTCGCTGGTCTCCTACTCGGATGACTGTATCTGATCTTCAGTCTGATCTTCACCTCCGATCAAACCCAGTCACATATCTCGATGCGAATGGAAAGCAACATCAGGTCCACCGGCCCGTACACCAAATTCCTCACTATACCTTCGGTCGCGTTGTTGGGTTTGAAGACATATCCTTATATCTTCTGTTCCCCAACCTGTACCGAGAAGAGCAGAAGTGTAGTAAGCTCAGGGATGAAGACTTTCGGCTGTGGATGGATGGCATTCTCCTCCCTGCGATATACCAATGCTACAGCACGGCCCATGTCCAGCACTATCCATCGAGCTATGACCACAGTCGTTGTAATTCCACCGCTCGTGGAGTAGAGGCCCTTTCTCAACGTGTTCATCCGGTGGCACGGGAACAACAATTGGTGTACTTTCTACCACCGGAGGCGCTGGCAGATGTGTGGGCCAATATCCTCGCCACCGTTCAAGAGCCAGGATTCCGGCAGTTCCAGGACGTTTCCATTCTTCTTCAAGCAAAGAACTTAAAAGTTCTCACAAAGGATATCACCTGGGAGAAAATGGTATCGCGATTTCAAACGTATTGGGCCAGCGCTATTGATGAGAGCTACACCACAACAGACGTCTACTTTGATGTTGGGAAAGTAACTTGCCCTCAGCAGGCATCTCAAGTTGTACCTTGGAGCCAACTGGCAGCTGGAGCCATCGAGGATCCAACGGAGAAACGAGCGGAAACGCTGCTGTATCGGCGATGTTGCCTGGAATCTTACGGCCTCCAGGTCAGCAGTGGGTCCGCTGGCGACCAAGAGACCCAAAAGCAGGTCTTTTATCCGTTCAGTATGCTTCGAGACACTGGAAGCTTGACCATCGAGACCGGGAAGCGTTCTCTACGCCGCGCTGCTGGCCTTCTCTACTCTCAATTTTACCCCAGTGTCAAGGAAGTCTTTGCAGCGGGGAATGTATATCCATTCAAAAACACAGCCATCGAGACGCTTGCCCTAGACAAGAAGCTAAGAAAGACATGGGAGCTCGTTGGAGGTGGTCTCAGCCACCAGCCGGCCGCGTTGATCAAGGCATACCTATACACAAAGCTTCGATGCCATTACGCCTTACTGGGATCCATGCAGAAATCCTTTGGCATCAGAGAGGAACATCGTGTTTCTGAGGCATTATTCTACGCTGTTGATAGCCAGATGAGATCCCGAGAGCTCCATGACAGGCGCCTTGTCATACCTACCGACGACAGCTCCCCTTACTATAGCTTCACAACTGACACTCTACTTCGATGGGTGCGTTGGAACATCAACAAGTTTTGCTTGGGGTTCGAGATGGTATACAGCTTCCAAGACCCCCACTTTGTGACCTGGGAACACACAAGAATCATGCTCATGTTTCTTCGCTGTCTCCAGTTTTCGTATACAGGCGGGTTGATACAGAAGGTCGGCGGCTGCTGGCGAGACGTACGACATCAACCCGATGCACGTCAGCCAAACGGACTCCGCCGCTACGAAGGCCTTGGATTCAGGCGTACTATGGAGATGTACGGCTATGCTTGGTTTCTCGACAAGATCGACTGGAATACGCTCACTTTCCGCCAACCCCATGCTGCCTACATGATGTTCAACAACCCATCCATGCAGACCGTTTACCGCGCTCGGTACCACCAAGTCCGAGATGTACGAATCGACTTTATCCGAGTGAACAAGGCTTACCAATGGATGCTCGAGTTCAGTGCCATTCCCACGTGCCTCGACCTCGTTGAGAGGTACCTTCGAGAACTATGCCTGTGTGCCTTCCGCAAGGACGTCTTCTTTCACGTCAAGTCGGCTCTAAAACCGGAATGTATGGAGGCTGCATTGTCAGGAGTGATTCCCCTCTGCTATGACAGTGTCAATGATGCCATGCTCGAAGAGTACCAGCCACTTCAGCTTGCACATGGAAACCGTTTGGCGGTAAAGGATATTCATGTCTTATTTGCTTGGCTCTGGAAATCGACAGATGATCACTTTGAGCGGCAGGGGTGGAGCGAGAAGCCATATCGCATGCTGTTCCAACAGAGCTTCCATGCCGTCAAAACCGCACGAGGTAAGGCTGGCGCGCGGAAGTGGCGGCAGGAGCTGAAAAGGTCATTTATCGGAAGCCATTGGATTCTCCCATATCCACACAGTCGGGGATTTATACGCAAGGATAAAGAGGAAAAACAGTTCACGTGGTGGCCCAGTGCGCATCAGGGACTCATCAGACACTACGCCAGGTCCCGGCAGACTGGAACTCTTGCACATCCACTGCCAGCATCCAACATCAAACACCATCCTATTGACGGCTGGCAACTAGCAACTACTCTGTTTTGCAAGAGCTATATGCCTTATGTCATACAACCCGAGCAGGAGTTGATTCGAATGCCTGAGAGTGAACTTTATGCTCAATTAGTTGGTCTTCGGGAGCAAGCATCAACTGGGCTGCCACAAAACCCTTCTCCAACACCGATACTGGAACTAGATAACTCCCCTGAGAGATATTATTTTCCAAAGAAATGGTGCCAGATAAGGCAGATGGAAGTCGCTAAAACGTTCGAGGAATGTGACGAGGTCAACGAGTGTGTCTGGTTCTTGAGAAAGGGGTTAGAGGCCTATGAACATCTCCGACATCCTCAACTAAACCGACGCAAAAGGCGTCGAAATCGCGCTGCGATCCAATCAGACAGCGATTCAAATTCAGTCTCGGGAAGTGATGAGGCCGAGGCTACCTCAGATGAGGAGAGCCTTGTTGTCAAGCGAAAAAAGCAAGCACAGGCTGTGCGCAATATGGAAACCCGAATGCATGAGCTCATTGGTGCATACAAACGAAGATATCCGCAATGGGAGAAGTCTTACGACCCTGTTTTAAGGGAGCTGAATCACCGTCTGGAAAGAGTTGAATAATAAATAGGAGGACAGTAAATATGCACAGGACAGACACGAGCACATACGGGAAGAGATAGGTACATATGGATAAGTTACTACTGGTGGTGCTGTCGGGGATAGGGAGCTGGCAGGTGCGGCGTTTGAGATGGGCGGATTGCTTTGGTCAAGGTGATCCGTGGATCTCAACAGCTAGCGAATATAGCTTAAAATGGGTGGTAAAGAGCCGATAGTAGAAGTGGAATCCGTAAGAATAAAGCAGAAATAGGCAGTAGAGAGTATTTGTATTAGCATGGAATATTATGGCGTACAGAGGAGAGGGAGTAGTATAGGAAGCAAGAGTGGATGCTAAAAATCCCATTAAAGGTGGGTAAGAGGAAGGTCGGGGGAAATGCAGCCGTTATACGATACAGCGAGGAAAGAAATTAAGACAGGCTAGCCTACATCATAACTTGCTCGAGGCAGCTATTATTCATACCAGACCTCTTTATAGCATTCCAGGCCCAGGCCGTGTCTATATGCCGGAAAGAAGCCGGCCTTATGGTGCAACCAGACCAATTCACGCAGCCACATCCATGGCTCGACCGTCGAGGGTCTCACTGTTCACCGGGGCTTCGCCTGCACCTGGCCGGGCTGCAGGCACCTCACGCCGAGCTGGAAGTGCCTGCGGGTCCACTTCAACGACGAGCACAACATAAAGGGAGCTAGGGCGCGGGCGGACCTCTGGACCAGCGTCCATCTGCAGACATTCTTTACAGGACCAAAGAGGGCGATTTACTACTTCTGCGTACGCGTCTCTACCGGCGGTAACGATGCCGTCTCGGCAGTAGAAGATCCTCTAACGCCGGTGGGCAGGGCTGCGGCCCAAGGAACCCGTGGCACTTCTGAGAGCATCTTCCCTTGAACCCATCTCTACCCAACCACTCGACTTCATCAGTCTTCCAACCCATCAGCCAAACCGCCATCAAACCACGACCACACTACGGGCGATCCCGCCTCTAATACCTGACCGTCTCTTCGGTTCCACTGGGTATGGCTCCCCTCCATTCTACCTTTCCCCTTTAACTACTGCGCGCTAATATCTCCTCCTTTTTCTAGACACCTACCCTGCCTACGTAATGGCCGAGGTCCCCGTTCCAGTCCTGAATCCCAACTCCATGACCAACGAGATGATGATGGATACTTACGGCGATGTATTCAATCTTACACTAGGGGACCAGTGGTGGGTCGCGGGCAAAACTGCTTTCCCCAGCCCACCCCAAGTCTCCGGCGTTGAGGATCCTTACACCCGATCACCCTAATCGGTCAAGTTGCAGCACCTTAACGATAGCCTCGTGCCCCTTCTCGTAGGCCCACGACAGCGGCGTCATACCATCATTATCCTTCGCCTCGACGTTGGCGCCTTTCTTGAGCAGTAGCCGGACGATATCGTTATACCCGTCTTCAGCAGCCCACGATAGTGGTGTCCTACCACCATTATCCTCAGCCTCGACGTTGGCGCCTTTCTCGAGCAGCAGCCGGACGATATCCATGTGCCCCTTCTCGACAGCCCATAATAGCGGCACCCCGCCATTATCATCTTTCGCCTCGACGTTCGCGCCTTTCTCGAGCAGCAGCTGGACGATATCCATGTGCCCGTTCTCAGCAGCCCACGATAGCGGCGTCTGGTGGTAGGTAGTATCCCTAGCTTCGAGATTGGCGCCTTTCTCGAGCAATAACCAGACAGCGCCTTTATGCCCATATCGCGCAGCTACTGAAAGCTGTATGTTGTTATATTCGTTATCCCTCCACTTGAGCGTAGCGCTTTTCCCGAGCAGCAGCTGGACGATATCCCCGTAACCGTTCTCGGCAGCTCGGGACAGCGGCGTCCTACCATCATTATCCTCAGCCTCGACGTTGGCGCCTTTCTCGAGCAGCAGCCGGACGATATCCATGTGCCCCTTCTCGACAGCCCATAATAGCGGCACCCCGCCATTATCATCTTTCGCCTCGACGTTCGCGCCTTTCTCGAGCAGCAGCTGGACGATATCCATGTGCCCGTTCTCAGCAGCCCACGATAGCGGCGTCTGGCGGTAGATGGTATCCTTCGCCTCAGTCTTGGCACCTTTCTCAAGCAGCAGCCGGACGATGTCCTTGTGCCCCGTTCTGGCGGCCCACGACAGCGGCGTCCTACCATCATTATCCTCCACCTCGACGTTGGCGCCTTTCTCGAGCAGCAGCCAGACGATATTCTCGTGCCCCTTATCGGCAGCCCCTGACAGCGGCGTCCCACTCTTTTCGTCTAGCCTGTTGGAATCCACATGCCCAGTCTCAAGTAGGAGCTTGGCAACATCCACGTGCCTAGTCTGGGCAGCCCAAGACAGCGGAGTCCACTGATCATCACCTGACAGATCCTGGGATGCTCCTCGATCAATCAAAGGCTCCACGTAGGTCAAGTTGCCGAGTTCTGCGCAGTAGGAAATTGCGGTTCTGCCATCTTCGTCTCGGCTGTTTGGGTCTGCTTTCATCTCCAGAATGGCGCTTACAATTTCGTTCCAGTCATTCCGCACAGCCAGCGGCAGTGCTGGTTTTAAACCTTCGGAAACAAAGTCACCCGTGGCCATAAAACACAGGTGATATAATGCATCCGCCCGATTACGGTCTCGAATTGATTGTACAAGCGCTGGTTGACGGTGAACAGTGTTTTGTGCTGGGCATTTACCCTCGGGACGTTCGGCAATTCTTTTTGCGATATCCGAGTAGTAATCCAGGATCTGCTGAATCTCTGGATTGAGATCGCCCTCGCCGCGGTATTTTTCCTTCATCCATTCCACACCGCTTGTCCCGAACCTTTGCCTCTCAAAGGAGTTATCAGTAAGTGACCAGCGGTAGAGCTCTCCCGTCGCACGGAGGGCTTTGGCAAGTAAGCTGCTGCCACTGGAAGTCGATGGGGCCTCTTGGCCGCGCCGTGGGCGACAGCGGCTACACGCCCATTGCAGTAATGCCTCTGCTCGGCGCCAATCAGAGCACCGTCGGTAGGTTTCGGCTTCGTTGATCCAGTCTGATAGCATGGTCTCGGGAGAAGGAACGTTGAGTTGGTCCCCAAATCGTGGTATGAGACATAAAAACCGCGTCGCTGTTTGTTATGTCCAAGTCTGCCTGCTTTGTGTGAAATTTCTCAGCAGGTCGGGTGTGCAACAAGGGGTGAGGGCAAAAGAGATGATTGAATTTGGCTGCTTAAGAGGGCCCTGAGTGAGGGAGCTAGCCGGCGCTTTTGTACTGCTACACTCCCTGAGTTGCATAAGAATTTGGCTGTATTAGCAGGTTGGTCGGAGATGCCCTGAGGCATTTAATTTCACCCTTGGAATCCTAGCGGCAGCCGTTAATCCAACTCCCCTTCAGACAAACTTGATGACGGTGGAGAGTGCTTTTTTTTTTTTTTTTTTTATCTCCACCTGGTCCCGGCCGTTGCAGGCGCTGCACTCCTTAAAATTCCGGCATCATCGAGTGAACTTCTCCACGATCCTAGCAGGCGGACTGCCGATAGGACGGTGCTAGCTTCATTGAGCAAAATGGCAGAAGTACTGTGCCAAGACGCCATGCAGAAAGGCGCTGGCGAGTAACGAGAGCGGTGTAAAGATGGCTAGCCTCAGTGGCGGCCAATCGAAGGCTGACACGGTGATAGTTCGATAGCCATGAGCAGCGGAAGGAGGTCCGAATGAGACCTTCCATCCTCAGAAGAGAGGCAAGTACGTGCAACATGGGATGACAGTCCATCGCGTTTCTAAAGCATACGATAAAGATAAACGAGATCAAGCTAAAGGCCACGCTTTCGCTAATAATGTTTAGTGCGGCACGGGCCGTCCCACGCTTGGTACCGTAGTGGTCCGTGGTAAGAATACAGATGGCGATGGGACCAACTGAACAACTCCTTCACAGTACTAGTGGGACGCACAACAGCGTGCCCAGCACAGATTGGCCAATGAAGTTTTGTGTTGGGTGGGGGGGAAACGCGCCGCTAAGAACATGAACATGGCCTGCGTGCGAGATTGCCAATAGCTCAGTTATCGATTTTCTCCAGCAAGACGCTCGCGAGGCTGTAGTCCCCTGAGCAGGCAAGGTGCGCTGGCACCAAGCTTGCACATAGAGGGACCTGAAAAAAGTTTTGGGAAGAGTGAACAAGCTCTACGGCTTTGATCGCCCGTGATGCTGTTCGATGTTTCAGAAAGGTCGAACGGTGGAGGGAGGCAACACAAACCATCCTCCGCCTGTCGATCAATCCCAATCAAACGGGTTTGGGATGGCGGCAGGCGGACGGGATGTCCCATTGGCCATGCCTGGCATCATGGCGCTGTCAGTGGAGTAGTGTCGGGAAAACAACCTGCAGGAGACCCCGCGCCTTTGGCATTTCCTTGTGGTGTGTGTCAATTAGTTTACGATTTCCTTCAGGGACAGCCAGATATTTGGCCGAAACATGGCAAAAGGACTTTATTCGTACTCTCAATACTGATAAAC